TATCCTGGATGTCGATGCGATGTGGTATGACCATCATCAAAACCCAAAGCCACTTTACAACATTTTTACTTACTATTTTATAATAAAAGCCGATAGTGAACTTCCAGTTCTCGTGGCATCCAAACCCAGCGTGGACAAGCTAGTAGGTGCAAACCAGTCGACAGACATCTTTAACTGAGCGCCTTGTTAACCTATAAAACATTATTGGAACAGTTATGTATCACAAAAGGAGATTCTAGACTACTTACATCACGCAGTTTCTCATCACAATCTTGACACAGGCGTGAAACTGAACCACCGTGTCACTGGTGCATGGTGGGAGCAAGATAAAGGTCGGTGGAAAGTTGAGATACAGCCAAACGATGACCCTGACTCCAAATTTTATGACTATTCCGAGATCTTAATCAACGCTACTGGAGTTTTGAAGTAAGACCGTGAAAGGAAATCATTTTATTTGATTAGTACTAATTATCCGATAGCAACTGGAAATGGCCAGATATCACCGGCCTTGAGAAATTTAAGAATAAGGTGCACTCAGCCGCTTGGGACGATTCAATTGAACTCGACGATAAGAATGTTGGAATCATAGGAAACGGGAGTAGCGCCGTCCAAATTCTAACTTCTATATTTCCCAGTATGTTCTCCTGTCATCTTTCTCCTCAGGTGAGAGTTTGAACTAATAATACGGGGGTCTAACAGAGGTGAAACATATCGACAACTTCCTACGCTCACCAACATGGGTCACGACAGGAATGGCTGTCAAATACGCTAGCGAGGACACAGTGAATTTCAAATGTATTTAGAGACATCTCCGATTAATAGGTATTCTTGCAATACTAACAAGTCAACAGTTAGCGAAGAGCAAAAGAGAATTTTTACTGAGCAACCAGAAGAGTATCTCGCGTACCGAAAGGATGTTGAGATGGAGATGAACCCAGACTTTTCCATCGTATGTGTATCTAGCCCATCGCCACGGAACTTGGGTAGTTCAACTAACTGCGGAGCAGGCAATTAAAGGAACTAAGAAGCAGCTAGAACTTGCTGAGGTAGGAATGACGCACCGCACAATACGATAGAACGGAGCTTGGTGGCCTACTTCTAACTCCCGTTATAGTTTGCCAGGAAGGACATGCAGCGCAAGCTGGTAGCGAAACCAGAATTGGTTGAGAAGCTTATTCCCCCGGATTTTTCCGTAGGCTGTAGGGTAAGCTCAGGGGTTTTCTCGTCTACGATACATTTTCCTTTATATTCTTCTGACAATACGACATAGAGGCCAATACCAGACAACGGATACCTAAAGGCACTTACGAGTAAGAAGTGCAATGTAACTTTCTCTAAAATCGTAGAAGTTACGGAAGAAGGAGTTACTACTGAGGACGGAGTAAATCACAAGCTCGATGTACTCGTCTGTGCCACCGGCTTCGACGTGTCGTTTAGGCCTAGGTTTCCCATCATCGGGAAAGATGGCGTTGACATGCGAGAGTCTTTTAAAGACTCCCCACAAACGTACCTGAGCACTATGGCCCCCGACTTTCCCAACTATTTCAGTAAGTTCTCGCCTTACAAAAAGGAAGTTTATAATGACAGTTTGATAATAGTGGTGGTCGGGCCATTCGGTCCCTACGGTCACGGCTCCATCATCCCAGCTATGGAGGCTCTCACGAGACACGTTGCATTAGTCCTCGAGAAGTTTCAGACGCAGAATATCAAGTCACTCGTGCCCAAGAAGGAAGCAGTAGCCGAGTTCAGGCAACATCAGGAACTCTACATGAAGAGGACCATTTGGAACGCGCCTTGCCGGTCGTGGTTTAAGCTAGGTCCGCAGGGTGAGCATATCATGATGTGGCCAGGTAGCCGCCTTCACAGCTTCGATATCCTGTTGAACCCACGCTGGGAGGTAAGTGACACGAGTTGACATTTATGAGACATTGACCACTAATAATCTCATAGGACTATGATTGGGAGTATTTGTTGGGAAACAGATACAGCTACTGGGGAAATGGATTCACTACGCTAGACGTTGAGGATGAGGGGGTTGATAAAGCGTGGTACATTGCGGGTATATGATTGACCCCTTTTCTTTCGTTGTGGTTTGATTTAGATAGGATGAATGTGAGATGAATAGGTAAATCAGTGAGTAATATGACTATTACATATGAAAATACAATGGACTTGGTTAACATTGACTGGTACTGTGTCAAATATTCACTAAGGTACTATTGCAAGGATGATAGTTCCTAAAAGAGCGTGTATTTATGTTAGTCGCCGGCTAACTAACTAAGTTGGTAGGAAGTTTTATAGTATATCCCTGAGATGACTGGAAGCATTAATGCTCCGTGTTCCAGGGGGTACGCGATTTCAAAGTGTCGTAATTTTAGTTGAGTCTTAATGAAAGTTGTAGTTAATGACTCTTCTCTACCTCTTGGGCTTCTAGTTTACTCCTCTAGGTCTATGCGTCACGATATCGACGGACCATTTGTACGGATTGACATTCCTTAGTTATCCTCAGGCCCCGGTGATGCTCCAAACACCCTTGTTTCCTTTATCATCAGTTGCTTCGACAGTATTGTCATCAGAACCGCCATCTAATAGCAAGGTTAGTACATTGTCAAAACATGCGATGACTTGACCAACATTTCAGAGTTACGAGCCCCGAATCCGGGAAGCTGGCAGAACTGATGGCTGTGAAGGTTTTGGGTGGCGGGTTATTCCCGTTGAACGTGGTAGTAACCTTCATGGAGGTCCCGCTGAACGGACCTGAGACTTTGTTGTTAGGAATATCTTCAGCGCCACGGAAGTAAAGATTGGCGCTTGTAACAGCACCGCTCAACTTGGCGTCAATATAGTTGTTGGTGAAGTTGATGGAAGCAGACATTTTAACTGTGGCGAAGTTCAAAGAGCTGGATTTTGGATGGTAGACTTTCGAGGTCTGGTATTCTTGCTGTGGTTGATGAGGATGGGAATGAAAGCGAATTTGAGACGAACTGGAGGCTATATTTATACATATAGAGTCGCAGTTAGAAACCCTCCACACAGACCACCGGGTGTTACTAAAATATGGTGAAATGAGATTCGTTACAGCAAGCAAGCAGTCTTGTCAACGGCGTAAAAGCCTGCGGGGGCCAAGTTGTGTTTCCGATTTTCCATTTTAGTTCGATATTCAGCTCTCATATCTTTTAGGAGGTAAAGGAAGACATCTCGAAAGAGACATTTCGAACATACTAACATTTGTCGACATTGAAATCAGGACATGTCATCTATCCTGTACGAATTGGTAGAATTGTAGGTTGTATACGCCAGCCTCCTTATTTTGTCCACATCATTTGCTTGGGCTTGGCAGATCGTCAATATCCGTTGTGCTATCATGGACATGATGTTTGGTATGTAATTTGCGATCGTGTGTACTAGTATGGCGTCTCCATTATTGAAGAGATGTTTACCGCCAGTGTTCATTTTGTAAAATCGGTAGGAGTTACAATGTGATAACACGTATCATAGATAGTTAGAGAAGGATTGCATATGTTATTTTGATTGCACTTATACCTAGGTACACAGTTTATCCTAATTATCAATCTGTTTATTGCCCATTCCAATCATTATATGGTAACTTACTTGGATTGTATATAACCTCTTCTTTTTATCAACCGCAGATTTCCGTCTACTAGTTTAATGTCGCCAATAGTTTCACTGTCTAGGTAGGTACGGACATACTTGTTTCAACTATCATGCGGCTCTCGTGTCCCAAATTAAAGGTGTGTAGGCGGCTATATTAGCTACGCACAATATAGCATTCTCCAAGCAACTGTGGGATACACCAAACTGGCCAGCTGATTATCTACCCCCCTAATCCCCTCCAAGTCATACTTACGTAAGACAATATATATTTATTCTAACTCACTGGCAACCTCTACCACTGTATAGATGAACGGGCGATATGAACGGATGGGGGAAATGGTCAAATAGGGCTTCTAGAGCAAGCTACGCTTCCGCTCAACGAACCCCGAGCTAGATGGGAAGGTACTTGCGAGGAATACCAACCTATCTTGCCAACATTTAGACTAATTTACCGCCTACAAGAGAGCTGATAGATGTGAGTGTAAAATGCTAAGGCCAAAAAAAATAAAGAATAAAAATAAAAAGGATCAGATTTCTTCTTCTTGGCCACGATATCAGCTCCCGGAGGTGTCGGCCTCTTTGGGATCTTCCTCATATTGACTAACAAATGAGGATGATATTTAGTTTCTCGTCGCGATGTGTTGCCTTTGAGTTTCATCGGTAAATACCTATGGAAAGCTGCGGCCATATGTTAGGCAATGAGCAAGCTCTACATGCTGGATGTTTCATTTACCTAGGATTCTGACAGTTTTCCCAAAGGCATAAATAAAGAAATATTACTTCTTTGAAAGTTTAGTTGTGCGCGTTTGTTAGGTGTTGTGAATACAAAAAAAAAAAAAAAAAAAAAAAAAAAAAAAAATTCATCTCCCAAGATGGGCATCCCTTTCATTGGCCAATCTCACCATACCACCTGACAAATATTCTCACGATATCTGTATGAATAATTTTGTAAGATCTAGTTGGATATCGTTAGGATGAAGGAGTTCAAGATATTGGTTTTTGTAACAGTCGCAACTACCTATGTTATCTTTCACTAGGCAGTCAATCCTTAGGTTCCTGTTGAATGAGGTTGCAACAATTGGTGAATTAATTAGAAGGTACTAGGTAGTTGTCATAGACAGTACAGTACAATTACCTAACCCATAAGCAAGTTCATATTACCTAAATCAAAATCCTTGATCTAGTGTAGCGCTATTACATCCAATGGACCTTGAGTCTAAGCTCAAAGCCCCACTACACTTTCATTTAGGTAATAGTACATGTACTCCTCTAAAAGCTAAGCGCACACACCAATATAAGCGTCAAAAATCGACCGAAGCACACACAACGGGCATAGCTCAAGAGTCCACGACTCAAGAGCCTGCAGCTTTTCAAAGCTATAATCGGCGGGGATAGCTCAGTTGGGAGAGCGTCAGACTGAAGTAAACACTTTAGTTTCTTTCTAGAACATCTGAAGAGATTTCAGTTTCTTTCTAGATCATCTGAAGGTCGTGCGTTCGATCCGCACTCACCGCATTAGTTTTGCTTCTCTGTTGCATCTTGAAGAGGTTGATATTCATTTTTGCATTTTTTGCATTTTTTGGGTTGGAGGTAACAAGTTTTGGCTGGAAGTTCTGATCAGATGTTAATCCCTTATCTAACAAGTTATGCATTTGATCCGTTCTTGCCTCAATTATTTAGACTTTTTCGTTTCATTATCTTTCAAGCAAGGAGCAATGTGGTGCGGAATACAGAGGTACTTACAGCAGTGCAATGCAAGTGAATGCAGGTGTCGGGAAAGGGCACTTGATTTACCTACATACGTAGTACGCACTACGCAGTTAAGCAGAATAAGCAAATAGGCAAACGATCCAATCAGAATTCTTCAGTTCATAATTTTTCACGTTTTACCGTCGCTCGTAGTGGCTCATCCAGTGGTTCAGCCACGATTCACCCCTCATTACCGACCCTATGTTAGGTAATTTTCGATACCCCACCGAACTTTCAAATGTCTAACTTTGAAATACAAACTTGGAACTTTTCTACGAGGCGCATTTTTGTCGCAACGCTTTGTAGCAACATACCGTATTCAACCTTACCCTTATTCCTTGCATCGCCGGCTCCGCGATAGATATCAGGTGGTATTTTACTTGAATTCCATCCTTTTACCTCATATCCCATCGCAAGGAGCCTGTCATCATATTCCTCCACAATGGCTACCAAGCTTACCCGGTACGTAACCATGCCATATGCCATGCCGCTTAACGCACATTGAGGTCGCTTCCATTCTGTACCACCATATGCTAACTATTATTTCTTAGTATCGCCATCGTCAACGATGACAAGGTGCGTTCCTCGATACATTTCCCCTTCCCCCTGTCATAGTGAGAATTTTAGCTAATATGTAATATCTCGCAGTGCAAGCCCAAGGTATATATATATATTAACTTGTTGACTGAGCATTAATGCCTTATGATCATGATGCTTATTTTCTACAGAAATGTCGCCAAGAGTGTAAAAGGTCCTGCCCGGTATGTTATCTTTCCTTCCCCTTCCCGTTAGTAATTATGCTATACAAGAATTCGCGGGCTTTGGTGAATCGATAACTCATCATATATAATCCGGCAGGTCGTTCGTAGCGGAAAGCTTTGCATTGAAGTCAACCCGGACTCCAAGATCGCCTTCATCTCTGAAAGTCTTTGCATTGGTTGTGGTATCTGCCCTAAGAAGTGCCCTTTCGATGCTATTACCATCATCAATCTGCCCACCAACCTCGAAACCCAAGTCACCCACCGATACTCTGCAAACAGCTTCAAACTCCACCGGTTGCCGACACCACGACCTGGTCAGGTGTTGGGTCTCGTCGGAACCAACGGTATCGGAAAGAGTACTGCGCTGAAAATTCTTAGCGGCAAGCTCAAGCCTAACTTGGGAAGATATGAAAACCCACCAGACTGGGAAGATGTCATCAAATACTTCAGAGGATCCGAGTTACAAAGTCAGTCGGCATATATTCGCCTTCTAATTTTTTACTAACAAATAACATAGACTACTTCACCAAGGTCCTTGAAGATGACTTGAAGGCCGTTGTTAAGCCCCAGTACGTTGACCAGCTCCCGCGAGCTGTTAAGACGCCCAATAAGAGTGTCAAGTTCCTCCTCGAACACAGATCTGCGATGGGAAACATGGATGAGGTTCTTGATGTCTTGGAGCTTCGCCATATCCTGGATCGTGATGTCAACCTCCTCTCTGGTGGAGAGTTGCAGCGATTCGCCATTGGAACGGTCTGTGTACAGAAGGCCGACGTATACATGTTTGACGAGCCGTCTTCTTATCTCGATGTCAAGCAGCGTCTTTCTGCCGCGCGAATGATCCGTTCTTTGCTCGGCCCGGATAATTACGTCATTGTCGTCGAACACGATTTGTCAGTCCTTGACTATCTCTCTGACTATATCTGTGTTCTCTATGGTAAACCTGCAGTATATGGTGTCGTTACTCTCCCTCATTCGGTTCGCGAAGGCATCAACATCTTCCTTGACGGTCACATCCCCACCGAGAACTTGCGATTCCGAGAAGAATCTTTGACGTTCCGTATCTCAGAGGGCACTGATGATTTCCAAGCCGATAAGGCTCGCGCCTTCAGCTACCCAAAGATGGAGAAGACCCTCGGAAACTTCAGGCTCAACATTGACGGTGGTGAATTTACCGACTCGGAAATCATTGTCATGATGGGTGAAAATGGTACAGGAAAAACTACTTTCTGTAGGCTGTTGGCCGGTGCTCTCAAACCCGACAATGCCAAGAAAGTTCCCGAAATGAGAATTAGCATGAAGCCTCAGACTATTACTCCCAAATTCGAGGGTACCGTTCGACAGCTATTCTTCAAGCGAATCAAGCAGGCCTTCCTCTCCCCGCAGTTCCAGACTGATGTTGTCAAGCCTCTCAAGCTAGACGATTTCATCGACCAAGAAGTCAAGAACTTATCAGGTGGTGAACTGCAGCGTGTCGCCATTGTCATGGCACTTGGATTACCAGCTGATATCTACTTGATTGACGAGCCCTCTGCCTACTTGGATTCCGAGCAGCGTATCATTGCAGCACGTGTAATCAAACGCTTCATCATGCACGCCAAGAAGACGGCCTTCATCGTAGAACACGATTTCATCATGGCCACATACTTGGCAGACCGCGTTATTGTATTTGACGGAAAGCCGGGTATCGATGCCCATGCTAACACGCCCGAGTCGCTGCTCACTGGATGCAACACTTTCTTGAAGAACTTGGATGTTACTTTCCGCCGCGACCCGACGAATTACAGGCCTCGTATCAACAAGCTGAACAGTCAGTTGGACCAGGAGCAGAAGTTGAGTGGAAACTACGTAAGTTAAAATGACCCCTTATTTTATGACGCTTATCTCTAACATCGTCGGTAGTTCTTCTTGGAGGAAGACAGCTCTTGAAACGGGCGTCCCACACGATAACGGCCAGCACGAGGGCCACAAGAATCATCATAATACCCCATCAGCATCGGATACTGGCGTTCTAGGCGTACAAAAAGGTAGTTTATCGCGCCGAGAGAATGGAAGCGCGCATGAGATATCCGGCATGGATGCGGATGGTGGGGAGGAATGCGATGATCTGGATGAACAATGATGGCGACGACGGTCTACCCCCTATTCGTCCGATTCTGCAGAGAGTGGGATTCTAGAGGCGTGTCTGGTTACTTGATAAGTTAAGGTCTTCTGAGCACAGCTTGTCGTGCCGCATAGACTGAATCGACAGTACTAGATCTGCTAGCTGAAGAATGAGGGACGAATGGGTTGAGTGGGTGACTGTCGCATCTATTAAATGGCATATAGGTTAACATACATGTATGTCATTGAGGTCTTACGATCATCGTAACGGAGAAGATAGATAGAGATAGCCCAAGGGGCAGAGGCGAGGTAGAAATACACGAAGTGCTCATCAGATCAAATTCACTTGCCTCGCGTATTCTAATGAACCGAAAATTATTCATTTGACATTAATCAAGAGGCTTTATACTAATTAATGCATTGCGTAGACACTCAATACTTCAACATATTAGATACGCAGAAGGCAGCAGCCCTCGAATGGAGTCCCTTGCACGTAGTCGTTTTACATCTACTTCGGCTATCAAGCAAATTCCATTTCACCAAAGACCGCATGAGCAATATAGAAAAAATCCGGGATTATTACGCTATTTACTAAGATCCGATATTTTTTTTTCTCTATTAGGGCAGAGGAGGGAAAGGATACACACCGAGATAACGTGGTTATTCCAAAGAGCTTTTCTTCTTTTTTGTGTAATCCGGTTTACCGGAGCCGGAGCCGCCATGATTTTGTCTCTCTCACTCCCCCCCATATTATAAGTCCTGCGGAAGTGTGAGAAACATCTTGGATGCGTCAAGAAAATACAACTACGACGAAAGTCGACGTTATAAATGAAACGTACAGGGAGATGCGCGACTTCTTTTTTCTCTTATTCTTCAAGCTTTTATCCACGACGAAACTTTTATATGGAAAGGCGAGTAAATGTACGATTGGTGTTTGTGCGTGTTTGGTTGGTTGGTTGATTTGGTTGGTGATTTCGAACTGCATCCATGTGTCCCAAGTCATCTAAGCTCCAAGAAGAACGTAGTCGGAAGTTGACACGTACTTTTAGATGTATTTGATGAGCCTTAGTGGGTAAGACTAGAGTTGCAAGACCTGTATCTTTGCTGTTGGACGTTTAGGCAAGGTGAATGCTGTGATCAAGAAGAGATTCGGGCCTCTACCGTCTGGTCTTGGCGTCAAGTTACTACCAGGGATGAGAAGGTATGAAACAATTAGGAGGTGGGGGGGTAATATCAAAGATATATTTGTGCAGGTCAAAAGACTAGTCTTCTTCAATTTCGCCCTCTTCGCTACCGGAGTGCACGCCGGAATCGTCCTTGGAAGGGGGTTGAACTGCAGGGGGGGTCCTAGTTTTATGACGAGCATCACGATGGGGGGAACGCTCACGGGGTGTTCTCTCTCTTCTCAGCCTCTGTATTTGTGTTAGTACATTGAGCCTAAAAAAAGGGATAACTGAATCATACCTTAGAGTCTCTAGAGTCGCGACGATCAATGTCGTCATCGTCATCGGCCCGACGGCGTCGAGAAGATGTCGGCCGCTCATCACCGTAAGGAAGCTCTTCGACAGGGCCTCTCTCAACGCGACGCCGATACTGCCGCTCGCGTTCTTCCTCGCGATCCCGTCTTTCCCTATCATAATGGCTTGGCGGATCATCACGTCGAGATCGAGGCGGATAGTCCCTGTCCCGATCTCTCTCCCGGTCGCGATCCCGATCCCGTTCACGTTCCCGTTCACGATCGCGTTCCCGGTCCCTGTCGCGCTCACGGTCTCTATCACGGTCCCGGACATCGCGGTCTCGGTAAGAATCCGACGGCCGGCGGTCAGATAACAAACTCTCAGCCATGCTAGACTTACGGTAATTCTTCTCGCGCTCAGCAATAGCTTTGCGGCGGTCTGCCTC